TTCAGCCGCTGTTGAAACTGATCAGTTTCAGCAGCGGCTGAATCTGGACACCAGTTCCGACTTACATACAGATTCAACTTAAGAACAAACCTACAGTCCCTATCTTGTACGTAACCCGGGGACTGCCTGTACTGTGTTTTATTTCAAATGCACTGAGATGAGGGAAGAGAATGATGCAAACTTCCTTCAAGCAGTTACCTGTTTGGTAACTGGTGGCTTAGAGATGCATTGCTCATATCCATTTCAAGTTTGGTATGTGTGCTTGCCATAAGCACCGGTGCTGGAAGGTTATCCAAAATTCTTTTTAAGCTGCATGGCAGCACAGCCCCACAGCTGCTTAATGAGCCCGGCCCAGTCATAGGCTCAGGACTCTCACATTCAGCTGCTTGGTTGGGGGAGGGGCATTTCTCCCTCAGTGAGGGCAGCAGCTCCCTTCTGAGGACAGAGCAGTGAGTTTCTCCTAGCCTATAGGGACACGTGCCCTCCCTTTTGTTTCCAGGTGTTTTCAAGTGTTTTCCCTAAAACCTCTGTGGAAAAGTACAAAATTCAAGATGGATTCCAGCATCAGGTGACATGAACACATGTATTTGAAGCACATCTGCAGGAAGAGTTCTTCCCCACTCCACTGTCTCTTGCTAATGGGCTATTAGCTCTTTGTCTATCTTTTTCAATGTTGTTTCTGATGGGCTGGTAATAAGGTTTTCCCAGCACGAACACACTGATAATAAATCTTCAGTTAACATTACTTATTTCAGATACAGGAATGGTACAAGCATAAGAATGGAATATACACATTTAGCAGATTACAAGCTTGGCAATGACATGTTACATGAAATATTTTGAATAAAAGCATATTCAAGGTAAGCCAGATTCCTGTTCATGGGAGGAGGGGGTCATACTCTAGGGATCAGGATCACACCGAGGGTACGTCTAGACTACAGGCTTTTGTCGACAAAGCTTCTGTCGACAAAGAACGTCTAGACTACAGCAAGCCGCTTTGTCAACATGAGAGCGTAGACGCAAAGGACAGTGTAGATGCAATAACGCCTTCTGTCGATAGAACCCTGTTGACAAAAGGTATTATTCCTCGTAAAATGAGGTTTACTGCCGTCGACAAAACTGCCAAGTTCTGTCGACGTTATGTCAACAGAACTCAGCGGTAGTGTAGACGCAGGTAAAGTTTTGTCGACAAAACCATGTAGTATAGACACACCCCAAGACTGACAAAGTGCCTTGGTCTTGGCTGCGCTGGCCGTAGAGTGATGATCCACTGCTTTAAGATCCCAGTGATGGCATTTGACAGATGTTATCCTGGAGAATGATGCCGAACACTTTCTGACTGATGCCATGAAGGTGAACAGCAGTGGGAATGTGAATTGAGCCGTGATGTTAAGCATTGGTGCTGGAAGGGAACGAGGTGCCCTTTGTGGGTTCAGGTTCACCTCCAGTTCATTCCTGGACGTTGTGAGAGAGTAATCAACGTCTGCTGGGCCTCTTTTTCTTTTGCAGGAGAGATGAACTTTCATCATTCCAATGGAGATACCAGCCAGAGACTCCTCACTGAAGTTGCAGTACTATGCGCCGAGTCTGAACATGACCTCCTGACTCTATTATCAGAGTTTTAAGGATAATGTCTCGTTCCTTTTTAGTGAGGCTTGAAGCTTTTACAAATACAACACCTATAGCTTATGTGAGTCTTCCTAGACACCATAAACAATTGGTGTGGGAATCTGAAGCTTTTACAAATACAACACCTATAGCTTATATGAGTCTTCCTAGACACCATAAACAACTGGTGTGGGAATCAACCGCCTAAGTTTCTTATACCAGTCGCTGTTGTTAAACCCCAAGGCGTGGGGCATGCCCTAACCAGCGGGTTCCCAACCTGGGGTACGCATACCCCCAGGGGGTACAAGAAGCTTGTCAAGGGGGTACGGGGAATATTTGGTAAATAACTAGATTATCCTAATTGAAATATTCCAAAAGTAGTAGTGTTAGTGAAAAAAGTTGTGGATTCTAGAGTCTAGAATTTATTTCCTTTTATATTGAATAGGGGGTGGGAAGGTTTACTAAAAGCCAAGGGAGTACGGGGACTGAAAAAGGTAGGGAACCCCTGCTCTAACCCAAGTTCAGTGTTCTAGGGACTGTAATGCACTAAGGGAAGAATACGAACTATTTACAACAGAAAGGAACTGAAGGTGATGGTGGGGGGAGCCTGTGGTTCCCCTCATACTGTACCATACCACCACCACTCTAGGGGGCATCAGAGATGGTCACCTACGTGTACCACAGAGGGAAAAAAATTCCAGCACTGGCACATGTGGCAAGTACACACACCTAACATGGAACGGATATAAGCGAGTACTCAAAGAAAAACAGAAAGTGCTGTTACTTACACAGAACAGCATGAAGATGTGAATTCCATAGATAGTCTCTCAAAGAACTTTGCTATTTTCCCTCTTTTCTCCCCAGTTTTGTTTTTTTAAAACTGACTATTGAAAAATTGTATTTTAGTGCTTAATTTTGTTTTAAATAAAAAATTGACTCTGAAACAGGGGCATTCCCTTCAAGCTACCCTAGAATTCAATTCGCCCAGGGCAAGTTAATTTTATTTTTGTTTCTGGTCAGGCAAGTATATTTTTTCATCATCATTACTACCATCACCATTGGAAAAGGAAGCAATTACCTCTTTTAGCACAAAAACTGAACAGTCACGGCTGATTTGGTATTTCAGGTGTACTCTAAAAATAGTATTAAGAGAAACATACTTGTTCAGGTACTTGCATATCATTTCAGCTACATTTTCACAGTTTTTTTTGGTCGGACAAAAGACAAGACAGGAATAATTTGGAATGACTTCTGCCACCAAGGCAATAAGATGGTCAGGGTCCATCTTCTGCAGATTACTAGCATACTGAAATAAAAGTGAAAAAAAAAAAAGCATTACCACACATCTGCACATGCCTTCACGCACATAACATTTATTCTGCACACATATGGAAAAAAAAGAGAGCCCATTGGTTGTAGGCATAGCAACCTAGAATCAAGAATCAGTACCTTCCTTATCATGCACATCACATCTGAGTACTCAAGTATATTAGGCTCCAAACTGACCTACTTTAATGGTTAGAGCAGACTGAACAAAATTTCCAGAAACCCAGCAGTCATAAGCCAACATGAAAGAGAACAATCTCTCCCATTACAATAATGTAGGGGAAATGCCCTAGTGCAAAAGTCTATCACTCATTTCCAGCTGTTGAGAAGCAAGAGGATGCTAGAATACCTACCAACGTGGTTTTTCAGGAGCTTGCTTTTAGGCTTTACCTTTTGTATCAACTTCTGGTTAGAGATCTGAAGTTTTCAAGCACCTCACTCCCCCAGTCAGAGGGGAAAAAATTATCTCCCTTCTTTTCTTCTATATAGCTAGGAACGAAATTAAAATCTAAAAAAAATCCTCAAGTTAGCATTTGGCCTGTAGAGACCATTTTTCCATAGATATTATTACCCTTTATCATCTATTATATATTTTGAACAGTGAGTTTTTGTGAAAAATAAAGTAATACTTCGCAATTACCTACAGATACCAAATATTGCATAAACAATCCTGCCACTTAAATTAGCTGAATGCACTACTTTTTAAACCAGAATATGCTGGTTTCAAAAATCATTTTATCGGGAAAAGAGTCATTACTATAATGATTAGAGTTCATCAAAACATTTGCTAACAAAATTAAAATTGAGTTGTTTATTCAACTGACATTTTAGTGCAAAGAAAATTTTACTGAGACAAATCACAAAATAATTCAAATTAGTAATAGAAAGAGTAATTGAAGCTTTATGAGTTTCTGATTCAAATTGACTATGTATGGTAATTATGCAATAAAATGAATAATGTTTGAAGCTGAAATCCTACAGGTTTAAAAGTGTTTTTACTTCTCTTTTGCAAGCACATTAATAAAAAATTCTACTACATATATTTAATTTCTTGAACTTTCCTATAATCTACGCAAAATTACTTTGCCTAGTCAACGATGGGCCTCATCTACTAGTACTTTATATTTATGAACCAACTAGAAAATGTACCTGCCATTGCTCGGGTCCTTAACTCAAATAAGTTTTGTTTTTCTTCATTTAAATCATAGCTCTGAGATGGCGCTGTGGGGTTCAATATACAAGCTGTCTCAGGGAGAGAGGACAAGCCCAGCCCTCTGTAACCACAGTAGCTTGGGGCCAGGTGAGAAGCAACTGTCCATGGACACTGCAGCTGCAGCAGGCCCAACCGGGGGAGGGGTGCATTTCCCCCAGCTTGGGAACAGATACACACAAATAGACACACACTTTCTGAAATATATAGTAAGTAGTTGTCCCTTTCTTCACTCCTGCCCCTTGATGACCCAATGGAGTTACAGCTGTCACGATCCCCATCTTTTGCCCCTTGTTGCCCCCCATGGTCATTCTACACTATAATGTCCTCTTTCCAGACCCCTCCCTTTCCATTTTATGAGGAACAATTGAATTCCATAGACATCCCATTATCCTGCTAAAACAAGGTAAGGGGTTGGTTTTAAATTATAAAAGGAAGCTTCATGCCAAATCTGATGGCCCTAGCTCTTACCATTCATATGTGCTGCTGATTCTAAAACAAGGAGGAAAAGGGACAGATAGATGGGGTAGGTAGAGACACAGCTACGTAGAAAAAGCGCGGCACATGGAACGTTTCCTTTCTAAGTTACAGGTTTGAACTGAGTCAAGGGTTCTTGAGCAAACAGACTCACAGACAGATGGACAGACACACATTTCTAAAACATAAGATGATAATTCCTAAGAAAACCTTAATTTACCTTATTTTTTTCAAGTCACCTTTGTAAGAATATTGTATACATAAATAAACAAGAAGTTTCATACACATATCTGCATTACCTTGAAATTAAGAAGACGTGAAAAAGTAAGGCCATTCTCTGCTTTGTTGTCAACTTCATAGATACCATCTCGTATTTTAACATACTCCTTTAATTCTACCTGAGTTGGTTAAAGAAATGATATATTAACATTAGTCAAAATACTGTCTGCATCACTACAAATTTTAAACTAAGAGATCTCTTGGAAATACATTTCCAAACTCCAAAAGACAAAGGACCATTCTTATTTCCACACTCAAGGACTGTTCTTACCTCTAAGAACTCGTTACCTCAAGAAATGCACAACCCTCTTATAAAGTGGTAATGTACACCTTGGCTGATCCCTGAGCTTCAGGGTAGGTGGCCAGATAACTTGCTTTCAGTTTTGCTTGCTATTTCATCTAATATTAGTTATCTTGAGGGGAATCAATAAAACTAAGTATCACTCTGAATTGCAAAACTAAGTATCACTCTGAATTATATAAGTTAAATATAATTTGTACTAGAGGCGAGGAGTCCAGTTAGTCTATAAGGTTCCACAGAAGTGTAGGAGCATAAGCTTTCGTGGGCAAAGACCCACTTCATCAGATGCATCTTGCATCTGACGAAGTGGGGTT